CCCGGGGTCTGGTCTGCCCTGCGGCCGCGCCGCCTGCCCTGACAAAGGCCGCGGTCCCGCGGGGCTCTGCAGCCCCTCAGCCCTCACCCATGACGCTCCCCAGCGGAAACGCGGGTGGCCAAAAACCCTTTATTTCATTCTGCTGCAGAAAACCGGGGGAAGGCTGGAGCGGGTTACAGTCCTTACTGTTTAGTGTAACACGCTCCATCAACTATACATTAAAAGGGTCATACATTTACTTTCTTTTCATTCCAAAAAAAAAAAAAAAAACTTATTTCACTAATTTGGCTTCTCCACCTCTGATCGCGCACCAAAGCAAGGCTTGGGTCGCTAAAAACGGACGCGCGCGCCCACTCACAACCCGCTGATCCTAGGCCAGGGATCGGTACGAATTATTCCGGAAGCGCAGCCAGCACTAAATGAAGCTACCTGCCCTTTCTCCGTGCAAGACTAGCTTTTGCACAGCCCCCCGAGCCAGGCGGTCGCTGCGCCGCCAGCCCCAGCCCCAGGACGGGAGCAGAAACACGCAGCCAGGAGCGAGCCAGGAGCACGATTTAAGCTCGTCTCTTTGCTGTAAGACACCCCAAAACCACGCCACAGGCGCGTTTCCACGTTACGACTCATTCGGTGCAACGGGGCTGCTGTGCTGGGGATGCTTCTGGACCCCCCCTTCTCCGTCCTGCACCAGCTTTAGGCCTCGCACTCGCGTAGCAGCAGCTACAGAAAATGAGTCAGTTCAACTGGATGGCCTGACAACACACATTTATTTATTGGAGCGCGCAAGACCTCTTTGAATCATCTTCCTGAACCAGCTCAAAAGTGTCAGCGCTGGCCGGGACAGGGAACAGGTGCACCCAGCCAGGGACAAGGGGAGGACTGCCTCATCCCCAGTGTAGATCGCTTGATGCGCTCTTGAAACCACACACTGAGTTGATGGAAACGGCCACAAAATCTCCATCAAAACCTCACTCCTCCCAATCTGAGTCTTTCTGGAACTGGGAGGAGAGATTATGGCAGGGGGGGACAGAAAAAAACCTGAACAGCCCTTCACCCTGTGTAGCCACTTCCACAGACTCTTAATATAAAACACTACTACTGTGATCCAAGGTAAATACTATGCTGCAGTGAAATGTCCAGACTCACGTTTCTCCCTTACTTCCATCTTCCATCCCTCTGGCAGTAGATTTTATTTAAAACTATTGGCAAAACCATGGAAGATTACTAAAGTAATTAAATACTGAAATTTGGTTACCAAGAAGCAGTGATCCGCTTCTGTACAAGACAGGTCACTAGTCTACTCTGTTAGATGTTTAATTTGTCATTATCACCACCCAGTACCTTCTGTTCCCACATCTGAGGATGGATAGGATTTTCACTGACACATTGTTTATGCATACTAAAATTCATTTACACAAAGGTAGAATTCATTTGTTTGAAATACTCCTTTCATGTCCTTTAAAGGTGTCTTCACTCCTACTCTCTGATTTGCTTCCTTGAGTTGTATCTATGTATCTTTCCTTTTAAGAATCACTTTAGTCCTGGCATTCTTCAGCTATCCTTATTTTGCTTTGTTCTGTGAACGGAGACTTTCAAAATATTATGAATTTAACAAAACAGCATGGAACAGCTGAACAAAAGGGCCAGTACTTCAAGGTAAATACAAGCCTAATGACTCTTAAAGAACACAAATGGATTTACTTTGCTTTATACTTACTACAACTTGTAACACGTAAATCCTTTAATCCTGTAATCTAGATAAATCAACAAATTACGATGAAAATCAACACCTACAAAAGAGATTACTGACCGGTGACCCGAGTTCTTCGAAATCTGCAGTCCACCTATTACATCTGCACTGCAGATGGATGCACGACCTGTCACCTGAAACCAAGCAACTCCGTGGCAGTGGTACACAACATACTCGTATCCCTCCCTCCCTTGTGCTCAGCGGTTGCACAGATAGCTCAAGGGGCAGTGCCACTTCTGTGGCCTCTCAGATACCCTCCTGCAACACGGGAACAGTTCTGAAAGGATTCTGAGGGTGAGAGGAAAGGAAAATGTATGTGATTTTCAGTTCAAGCAGCTATTTTCACTATTTTTTGTGTGCATGTATGTATGTATTCACATTACGGGAATTTCAAATCCTAAGCGTTCATAAGTAGATGGAGATAGCTGTCAGTCCTCTGCGTGCTGACCAGACTGCAGTCAGGTCTAAAATCTTAAGCGTATAACCTGGTGAGAGGGAGGATATTAACTCTGTAATACTGTACACTGGCAAGAGGTAAGAAATATTTTCACTCATTGGTGAATCAACCACCCAATGCTGAGTCCAGGCACATACAGAAATCTGATGAAACAAACATATCTTGACCGAGGAAGGGTCTCCTTATCACAGACTCCTTGCTTCCATGAATTACAAATACTGACTGGGGAGAAGATGCAGCTATTGGGTGCTCACTTTGAGACAGTCTCTTGAGGGGCAATAAGGTGTTTTTTTTCCATGATCTTTACCAACTACTTGCCTTGGTATGAAAACACGGATACCTTATTTTTGAGAGATGATTAGCCCTTTTAGGCTAGCTCTTTGATAAAAGGCCTTCACTGCAACAGACGGGAAAAGCCATGTGTGGGACCGAGCTTTTCTGTAACATTACAGTACTTTCAGAGTTTCATGGTTATGGGAATAAAGGAGTACCAGTTACCAAAACTGATCCTGAGCGTCTCTGCATGTTCAGTTCTGGTAAGTCAAGTTGCCAAATTCCTTTTGAAAACTCACTGTCACACTCCTCTTGAAAGACAGAAAAGCAAGAGGTGATACCTAGCCCTCCTGTCAGAAGGGAAGGGTGGGGAACGCTGAGACGGCTCCAGCACTTTGCAATTCTTGGGGTGGAGTGACAGCATGTTACATAAGGCACTTTTATCTATCAATAATTAGTTGATAGTATCGATAGGAAGAGTAAAAAGCTCAACTTCATAACACACCAGGTTAATAAAGCAGAAGGCCTTCTAACATCACATCACTGAGAAGGCACCAGTGCTGGGGAAGCTGACACTAAGATGAGATGGAGTGCTGATGACACACCAGCACCACATCCCAATTTGAGATAAATGTGATGGTAGCTAAGCCATTGTCTGAGGGGCCAAAAGAGGAGGTTTGTTTCCAGTTACATCCTCTGCAGACTGAATATGCTGAGGATGTATGTTCTAAAGCTAGTGACAAATATGAGGCTCTCTACTGTACAGAGATGATATCTCTCTACTGAGAGATTCAAGTCAGACTGGTTTTGGCCAGCAGAAACGGGGGTGACCTGGCAACTTCGAAGAAAGGATAAACAAAAAAACACGATAAAAGACTACTTGAAGAAAATGATCCCAGCAGAGAAAACAAGGCTGGGCAGTTGGGAAACAGCATGGAAAAGATGTCTCACTGGAAAGTTCAAAGGAACTTAAATAGCAGCCAGCACACTCCACCCTGTGCATTCATTTGCTAAGCATGAGAACGGGATTGTGAGCATACCTTGAGAGAAGTACCTATGCAGAAAAAAATCTCCACTTGCAGAACAAATCACGGTATCATATCCCCAGCACGACAGTACAAGTGAACTATCACTTGCAGACAGAGCATCCTCTGTTTCTGTGCTGACAGCTCTAGAGTTGGCATCGTTAGTACATCAGACCAATATTTAATTTGTCCCATACCTGTGACCCGCAGATAGGCGACCATAATTGAAAGGGCAATCCTGTACTTCTCTGTAACTCTCTATAGCACCATAATTCCACCATCTTGACCTATAAAATTTTTAAACCACACAGCACAGAACTACATAACATGCTGCTAATAAAATCATTTATTTGCCTTCTGCTTTAGCAATGTTCCTGAACTTTTTCTTCTCCCACTTTTGTCTACATCTCATCTCTGCTCCCACTACTACTCAGCTTTCATCCACATGTTCAAAAATTTCAGCTTCCTTTGAAACTACCAGACCACTCTT